GTTAGCCAATGTCACCTATCCTATTTTACATGTTTTACATATATTTTCCAATGCATTCCAAATTTGGCATGTAGGTGTATGATGGTACCGCAAACACAACTATGACATCCGTTTTCTAATTAAACAAAATGGATGCCATATACTGGTTTCTGATTGGTCGAAGCTCCGTTGTAGTTGGATTTAGTTTAAATTTAGTATGTATGTGTAATATGAAATTGCAAACTCAATTGCGACATTTGTTTTCTAATTTGACAAAATGGCCACCATATACTGGGTTCTGATTGGTCCAAATAAAGATGTTGTCTGATTGTCCCCGGAATCGGTACATAAGGGTTTTGAGTGATGCCGAACACAATGGTTACAGTTTCGAAAAGCTCAGTTACCATGATGACGAAATGGAGGCCTCTGATTGGTCGAAATTTAGAAGTTGTCTGATTCTGTCCAAAATAAGTACATAAGGGTTTTTAGCGATGACAAACACAATGGTTACAGTTTCCAACAACTCAGTTGTCATGGTAACGAAATTTGGCCCTCTGATTGGTCGAAATTTAAATGTTTAAATTTAAATGATTCTGCCCAGAATTGGTGCATAGGGGTTTTAAGGGATGCAAAACACAATGGTAACAGTTTCGAACAGCTCAGTTACCATGGTTACAATATGGAGTCCTCTTATTGGTCGCAATTTAGCTGTTGTCTGATTTTGCCGAAGTCCAACAGGTGTCGTTGGGAGACTTCTGTAACGGCCATCCGTTACAATTAGTACTAGTTTTATATTGTCTTTACTGGATTTCTCCTTTTTCTTGGATTTTCCTGTCCCTTAATAACCTTAATGTGTTGTTCGCATGCGTATGTTGTACCAATTCAATGAATTCATTCTAGACTTTTCAATAACTAATCCAAACAGGCCAAATGACATTTCAACTAACAAATTTTTGGTAAATTTACCTTTATAAACATGATAAATGAATTACAATAAGGTCATCTGAACAGGCCAAAATCAGGATTGAACCCAGTCATTTTAGCCTGGTGTGTGTTCTTAAACTATTTTCATGTTTACAACTTTGTTCTGTACAATACTAGCATGACTAGTATTATCCAAATAAGAACTTGTATTTTCAGTCGGCTGCCGCTGGTGAACCTGTTGCAAGTTGCAGTCTGGCCCCTTCTAGAACTAGAACATGTCGGACCTTGCCTGATATGGTGTTGGAATCCGATGAATACCCTGAATCCCCATCCCCAAGTAAACAGGTACATAGATCAAATTTCCAATAGTTTGTGTACACAGTGGAAAATTGGACATTCACAATCGCAGAATGGCCCAATCGTAGAGCGAGATGTGATTAATTGTGACGGAAGTGACATGCAAGCGCATAGGTATGCTGCCAGGATATTTATGTTCCTGGTAGGGGTGGACATGTTGTCAAGGGTAGAGGTCAGAATAAGCAGCACCGTTCTTTGAAACGAGATGTGAAACCAAGGTCTAGTGTTCAGGGGTACCTGAAGGGGTATATTGTTAGATACCAAATTTACCCTCCCCCACTTTCTCTTGCCGAACTGTTCAAAGACCTTCCTTTGTCTTGACTGGATATCTCCTTTATTCTTGGCTTTTCTCATTTGTAAATTTCCTTAATTGTGTTGATATGACAATCAACATCGATTCACTAAGTACTACAATATGTACAAGGAAGTCTGTCGGTCTCTCGGAAATATTTTGTTTAGCTGCACTGTATACCAAATTAGTTCTTTAAACCTGTGCAAGACCCAAATTATCTCTGCTTTGCTAAAAAATAAAATCATGTAGTTTGGTAAGAAGTACTAAACAGAATTGCTTTAGGTGAACTTTAGGCTAACTAATTGAATTTCTTGCTTTTCAATTCCAGAGTAGTCCAAGCAAAGCTATAGCTACGTCCACAGTACGTGCAAGACTATTCAACAACCCAACGTCGTACCTGGCAATGTTCGAATGGGCAGATGGCAACCTATACCTTGGCATACTGAATGAGGAAAAGAAAGAAGTCACAAACTGTGACATACCGGTTGGGGAAATAATTTATGGTGCCAAACCATTAAAAATCAGAATTCCGAAAAACCTATCGCACCAAATGTGTATATTTAACCTAAAAAATGTGCAAAAACTGAATGCCACTAATATGAAATATATGGTCAGCAAGATTTCTTTGCAAGGCCAAAAGTTTGTGCTGTAGGGCAGGTATCAAGTCCATACTGATACCAAATCAAGTGGAGTCGGCTGTTATTTCAAGGCTGAAATATGACATCAAAGATACTTGGATACCGATTCTAGCTCCGATTCAGACTGATTGTCGTGAAATTTACTGACGCATGGGCACGATACTGTTAACTCGTGATCTTTTATAGTTATTTGTTCCATTCAACTTTTGTTAGCGAATTCAAACATAAACAATTACCTGTTTTGTTCTGTACTGGTTATTTTCCACAAAATATTTTGTATTTTATGCTTAATTAATCTCGTTCAAATAATGCATTGATCGGATGCTAAACATCAATTCAACTCAAATAACATAATTGGATCTGATTCAAGTCGCTGCATACAGATCAGAAAAAGGCCATTATTTTAATTGAACAGTAACGATACCGACCGCAATCACTCCATACATAATGTTTTGACTTTTGTGTGTACCACCCGGAAGTGTGTAACATTTTCCAGAGACGTGCGTGATGGTGGCTCCATATCCCTAGTGTGTGCCAAGTAGGCAAAACTTTTAGTCATTTTTCTAGTCAATAAGTCCAAAGGAGTTCATATAAGGGCCGTTCCAGAATTAAATGTTTGCGTGATGGTGGCTCCATCCCTAGTTTGTGCCAAATAGGCATAGTCATTTTTCTACTCAATATATATTTAAAAACCAATCCAACGGACTGGTGAACTTTGTTTAATGTTGTGTGTAAATATATATAAGGGCTGTTCGAGAATTAAATGTGTGCATGATGGTTGCTCCGTCGACCCTAGTGTGTGCCAAGTAGGCAAAACTTAAGTCTTTTTTCTAGTCGATATATATTTTGAAAACAAGTCCAAAGGAGTTTATATAATTAAGGGCTGTTCCAGAATTAAATGTGTGCGTGATGGTGGTGGCTCCATCCCTAATGATTAATTGTGGGTGCACATCGTCATGGTTGCATTTATTCCTGGGTCTCCAATATTAGCGGCTGGGTTTCTTTTATATTTTGTGCCATATTTATGCTTTAACTCATTTTGCATTGCACAACCTGAACAAATAAATCTTATCTTTTTATGAGGCCCTAATATAACAACCTTCGGTCAATTTACCCATTGCCCAGATAGTGTTTATAAACTACTACATATGCATATGGAAGCAGTTCAATCCTTATATAAATATTCATAAATCAACACATTTTAATTAGGTTCTAGTTTATCTCCAATTTGATATCTTTAAATATTTACATAGTATGAACTTGAATAACAATTATTAAACGCACATATTGTTATCTACATTTGTTCAGGTTGTGATGTTTATTCTTAAATTAACATTATATAAAAAAATTGTATGGCAGTGTAAATTGTATGGCAGTGTTTTAAAATTTGCATCAATTTATGAATTCTGCATTATCTTGTGTTTGTTAAATTGTTTTATTGGTGCCCTCAACATTCTAGGTCATTTTGGCACACATCTGGTATATATATATAAATGCAAGTGAATGGATATAAGCGCAAGGAATGTCTTCCTCAAGGACTTGCAAATTGGGACACGCATGTATATTGCGGACGTCCCGGGACGCCCATGAGGACGGGGTTCGGACTCGTGAGCCAAGCTAGTTTGCAACTGGCTTCCATAAGCGAAATCGCTATCCATTTGACCACGCATCCACTCTGTATTATCTAATCTTGATCAGCTACCAGTCAAGGTTCTAAATCTGAAGTTCAAATAATATGTGATTAATTGCTCATTATCAATTGATGTTGCAATTTGTGGGATGAATTTTATTACAAATGTTCATGGCCATGACAATAGTAATCATTATACTTTTTATTGATTTATTATGGCCATGAGTTTTGTAGGGGGGCAATGAAAAAGCCATGATTTTAATCGACTTTTTCATGACCCCCTGAATTTTTGACCTTTTAATGGCCATGACTTCAATGTCATGCCACTGAGCTCAAAAGTAATGGGAAAATTATGGCAATGGGTTTTTTTGTGTTTGTGTTTGAAATAGTTCAATAACTGCCGTTTACGAGCGCATTAATCCATTTGGGCTCTTTAGAAGGGATGACTGATTTGAAATATAAGTTCGTTTTTTTGGACATGTCTTTTACCCCAGATGGTCCCTTAATAAAGGTGCGTTTTTGAGTAGATTGACTCGATTTAGTATCAAATGTACGTGCAGTGTATGAATACTAAATTATACGCGTCCAACCTAAGTGATATATGTCGACCAACTGACCACTAAATACTTTTTTCTTACAGGTGTGCAGGCGTGCGCCCGTGCTACTAGACCCTAGCGCAGCGCTGCCATGCCGAATCGTTGATAGGAATTGTGTAGTGGACGATCCCTGTGCAAGGCCTGACCCTGTGGAGAGACTGTTAAATACCGCGCCCTGCCCGCCCGTCTCGAACCCCACCCTGATATGTTTGTTTGGTATTCGGGCGAAGCTGGAATGTCCAGAGAAGTTCGAGATATTACGGAAGTGCTTTCTTTCACCAAATAAAACAATATATGACCTGAAAAATCAAACAGAAAGCTGTCATTTAAAACGTGCGTGTGGTCAGTGGTTAAGGGCGTGCCCTAATGAACTTTCCCGATTGAGCGATGTTTTTGTGAACTGTGCTGCCCCACAAAATCCCGTAACAGAGATTGTACCAACTCACAGTACGAACAACGTGCCCACTGTCGATCGTTCCACCGACATGCCAACACACAGTACGAACAACGTACCCAATGTCGATCGTTCCACCGACATGCCCGGGCGTACGACTTACCCAACAGACTTAGACAACGCAACTCATCCCACACACGATGTACCGGATCCGGAACCTGCAGCCATATTACTATTCTGGAGAATTGCAGGGATATTCCTCCCAGTGTGCCTTATTTTCACGTACGTCAGTAAGCCATGCATGACTTATGGGTGGTAATTTACATGTTTGGTTTGTATATCTGTTGTGCGGGTACACTATATAACGCACTCGTTAGATCGTGATCACACAATGTGCCAACCGTAGATAGTTAGTTATGAATGAAATATTGATTTCATTACAACGGATGTACTTTATTTTCCTTCCGTGTACTCTGTTCATTTTTAAACATAAATCCATATGGTCGTTGGTAGTCTCGTCTTGTTCTGTCAGGCTGAAACTTAAAATGGCTACTGACGCTGATTCAGAGCTTAACGATGGAAAGGCTTGCCGCTGACGTTTGACAGGAATGAAGTTGTAAAAAGTTGTAAATATAATGTACTCCTCTTTTATTGGAGTTTAGAAACGGGAGGTCTGGTTAAACAAGACTAGTATTAGTTAAACACACGCTTGTGAATGTTTTAATACTAAGAGTGAGCCTAATAATGCCCGACTTAGTCACAGATCCCACAGAAGCCATAATCTTGCAAACGAGGCAAAAGTTGACGTAATGGTGTCGGAAACAAGTTTACTGCACGCGCATCGTTAACACATCATGTGTATTCTTTGTCATACCATCCTCTTTGCTAATAACGTTGTGAATCGTTATGACAACAGGAATCTACCAATAGCAAAGCTTTATTTCATACACCATGTACGTATACGTTTGTTTAGGAAGTAATACTTTGATATTACATTTTTCAAAACTGATGAATCGTATTGAAAGATCTATCAACGAAGACAGAGAAGTATCCTCCAAGACTAACATGGAGGTATATAACAGGTCTTTGCCAAGTGCCAAAAAATATGTCCTTTAACACTTAGGATAACTCATGTATTTTTTTCTGTTGATTGAATATGACCTTATTTCTTATTAAACATGAACAATGTAAAAACGTACATGTAACTTATAGTTACTTAGGTTTCATAAACATATAATTTTACTTCAAAATTTGATTTAGATGATCTTTAACATTCGAATACGTAATTGAATACACATGTGTTATTGTCATGAATCTATTGTACTCTGATACCCCTTCATTATAATATTTTACTCATTAAAACATGCACTTTAAGTTCTCATGACTGTTATGCACAAATATGTTAGTTGTGATTCTTCATGTCAGGAATATGTAACTCCCGCCGAAATTTCTCTAAAAAGTTATTTCTTGTTTCGTTACAACATGTACTCAAGGGAATCTGTAACTAAACTCTTTTTCGCTTATATTTTATTGCAGTTTGTTTGTCTTTTGTAAGAGAAGAGACTCGAGAAGAAAAAAGGTAAGCAGAGACATCAGTACAGTCTATTGGACTATGATCTATAAGGGTGATATATCAGTACAGTTTATTGGACTATGATATATTAGGGTGATATATCAGTACAGTCTATTGGACTATGATCTATTAGGGTGATATATCAGTACAGTCTACTGGACTATGATCCATAAGGGTGATATATCAGTACAGTCTATTGGACTATGATCTATTAGGGTGATATATCAGTACAGTCTATTGGACTATGATCTATTAG